AAATTTAATTTAAGTATATAATTATGATTATTTAACAATAAAATAAATAAATATTATTTATTAATAATGTTTTATTATTATCCCCAGATGAGAATGAAGGAGGAGAGACTATCAGCCAGCTCCAGAGATGGAAGAGAACGGTTTGTTAAAAAGAATCAAGGACGAGAGAGGGAGAGAAAGACAGTATAGTAACGTTAAAATTCTTTCATGATTCATTTTTCCATAGTTCTACCGTTATATTACAGCTTCTTATAGGGAGAGTAACCTTTTCTACAGTCTCGCTACTGCCCGCACATGGCTTCTTGTACTTAGTAATTTGCACTAAAAAAAACTCAGCGTATCAATGGTAACATTCCAACAATTTCTCTAAACTCAATACCCAATCCATTGAGTATGTATAGAGTTAAATCATCATCTGAAACTGGATGATCGATGATTGCTAGTTCATCAGCAATTACTTTAATTCCTTGAAGGAATTCAGAAACTGAACGAGACCCACGATTGCTCAAGGTCAGGTCTTCTTTGAGCTGCATCACACGTGTTCTGGATTTGCCTGCATATAAGCGGATAAGTGTTGTCCAAGCCTCATGAGATGTTTTGTAGGCAAAGAGAAGGGGGGTAATGGTGGTAGAGGTGGAGGCGAGGATGGCATGTAGGATGAGCTTGTCTTGGCGAATCCAGTGGGAATTCGCAGCTTTGGATGCAGTAAGGTTCAGCACATCAATGACAGGACACTTGTGTGTACCCGTTACAAACTCAATAAGATCGTAGCCAATGAGCAATGCTTCAAATTGAGCTCGCCACTGTGGAAAAGTAGAGGGGATGAGTTTTTCATTGATGGTTGTGGCAGCATTAATTGTGATGATGGGTGAGTGTGTAGAGTCGATGGTAGATGTGGTGATGGTTACCATTTGCAGTAAGCAGATAAAGAAGAATAGCAGTAAGGATGATACTCGTTAGAGATTTTCAAGCTCTGATACCATATAGAAACTTATACTGCAATATTATGTAATGCAACGCATACTTTCTATTCATTTGTTATAATATTTATACAATATTGAGAGCTTGACTTTTGAATTCAAATGTGTGTAACGGAAGGATATTTACAATCAGAATTAATAACAATATTTCAAATGGATCCTATAATTATGAAAAGCATAAAATTTGGCATAACTCATGGTAATAATTGCGTTTGAATTTATTGTGATTTGATTTCATCATATTCCTTGATATAGTGTACATCATCATCATCAAAGTTATACTTAAGCTTCCCAGTCTCATCAATTTCTTCGATGTCAAAATATTGATTGCATTTGTATAACCACTAGTGCACATCATCTTCATCAAAGTTACGAAAGTCGTGTTTTGGTTTATGTAACGTGTAAGTGGGGTAATTTCCTTCATAAATCCAACATGATCTGGTAGTAGAATCCTTTAGGTTAGATGGTTGATAGTCATTCTTAACGTTGGGCTGCTTCTGTAAAAGGGAGTTTTGCTGATAAGACAGCTCATTGATGAGTTCTTTGAGCTCTCCAAAGTTGGCTTCATGATAAAATTTGGTGGCTTCCTGTTGCTGACTATATCCTTTCATTGATTTCATGACCTGCTCATATTTCTATGATTGTTCCCTATTCGCATATATATTCAAACGATTCTTCCAACCTTTTGAGATCTTAGGACCTGGTGTTTGGAGCCATAACTTGTAACCAAAGATCAGTGGCTCTAATACCACTTGTTGAAAGTTGAAGGGAAATGGTACCAACATGGATGCTGTCCAGGTGAGTACAAAGAAGAAGAGGCTATCAGCCAGCTCTAGAGATGGAAGAGAATGGTTTGTTAAAAAGAATCAACAAAGAGAGAGGCAGAGAAGGAGAGTACAGTAATGTTAAAATTCATTAATCATTTATTTTTCCATGTTTCTTCCGTTTGGTTACATCTTATAAGGAGAGTAACATTTCTTACAGTCCTGTTTTTGACACAAATGGCTTCTAATTTGCGCTAAACAAAACGCAGCGTATCATAGGGAGACATTCCACTAATTAAAACGATGTGTTCATCTACTAGTTATATAACTGCTTCTTGCAAACAGTTACATTTATTTGAAAAAACGAAGTCTCTGCTAAAGAAAGTTCTTCCTCCTCTAAAACGATGTGTTCATCTACTAGTTATATTTATTTGAAAAAACGACGTCTCTGCTAAAGAAAGTTCTTCCTCCTTTTCATCGTTGAGCTTTGCCAGTTCAGCCTTGTGACATCTAGGCACAGCCAAGTTTAAATTACGAGGTACATCTCTTCCTGTTCCTGTATTTGCTTTCTTTTCATAAAAATATGTTTCCTTTTTCATTTTTTAGCATAGGGTTTTAAGCGGTAGTAGTTCTCCTTTTTTATGAATTGTAGAAAGAAATGTGTAGTGGGAATTACTGAAAATGATAAACCAATCTTGGTTTTTGATTGATTCTGCTCATGGTTGAGGTTATTTTCTTGTTTGATCCAAAAATGCTGAATCTTTTAGTTTTTTTTTCTCGAGTTGTTAATTTGTTGATATCTGGTTGACTGGTTCTTTACGAGTATCCTCCGAAGCATCAGAAGCAATTTGGTTTCTTTTTCAGATAATTAGGATTTTAAAAGTTCTGTTGAGTAAATATGTCATCAAGACGCAATGTTCGTTACAGTGCTCTTCCTGATGATGATAATGATGGTAAATTTAATGTAAGATATGACCCTCGATTTGAATATTATACCCCTGGAGCTCTTGATAAAATCCCATGGAAGTCCATTTTCCTCGCGATTTTTCTGCTCTTCCTTGGATGTGTGCTTCTCTTTCTATCATTCCTCATCTTAACTGGAAGAATGTTTAGCCGAAGGTTATTCGAGTTCGGTGAGGTTTTTTGGGTTGATTGCTTGAAAATTTAAACATAAGTGGAAATGGATTTAGAAGAACTGTTGATTAAGGTAATTAAGGTCACGAGTCCAAGAGCATGCACGCTAGAGAAATGCTGCCTTAGCTTGATCAAACTTTTCAATGCTTGTCATTAAGTACAATGATTTTCCCCCTCTCTTTTGTTTTGTGCAAAATGATTTGAATGCTGTGCCCTTTCTTAGTCTGTGTATGTTAGATCAACATAGTCTTGTCTGCTACATATCTCTTGTTTTTGAGGTCCACTACCTTAAGCACACTGGGATGTTCAAATTAATAAGTTTTGACTTCACTCAAACTTGCTCTGCTATTTTTCCCTTCCTACCCTCATGAACCTTGATGACAGAGTTAAGTCTTAAACTGCACTAATTTTGAGAAAAACAGCTGCTATTGCAATATAATATCATGGCAGAATATGGAGCAGTAGGTGTCTATGCTGCAGTTCATTAGTTCGGTTGCCATCTATGTAATAACTAATAACAACCCGTTCTGCAATAACGATATGCTTTGTAACTATATAAAGAAAAATAGTCCAATATGGTCGCTTGGAAGTCCCACTAGTTCTTCAACTTTCAGCAACGAGTCCACATCTAAAAAATTGCGATTTTGTGTATCTTGAGGATATTGCCACAAACCAAACAGCACAGCTTTGCAGCAATATTGGCATGCAATTGAAGAAACAAGTAAGTTAAGGATGTGGTAAATGGCCCACTAATTTTCAGATTGTTCTCCTCGTGCCACGATGAAGTTCTAGATAAAAACAGGATGCTTGTCTTGACCAACTGGGATTTGAAGTAGGAAGATTTTACCAGTCACTGGGCACTAATTCTACCCAACTCAAAAGGAACTGTTATTCTTTATCCAAAAGGCACTGGCTTTTCAAGTTAGATTTCTGCCATAGGCAAAGCAGTCATGGAAAGTGAACATATCAACAATAAACAAAGCTTCTTATTGAGTTTTCTTTTTCAAATTTGATGGGCATTATTTGAAAACCCCACGGCTACTCCATTAATGAGGCCATGGATTGGTGAATTTAACGTGGCAAGGTTAATGTTAATGGACCTTGACGGGCCGAATTCAGAAAAGCATTTGCTTCCTAATTTGTATTTATTTACTTCCATATTTATTAAAATAATATTTTTTTTATTTTTAAAAAATTTATTTTTAAAAACAACATATTAAAACAATTTAAAAATACTCAAAAAAATTAATCTGAAATTAAAAAAAATTAAAATTTGGCAAAAAAAACTCCATGTTTCTGTCTTTTTAACATTTTCATGGTCCTACTGTGCAAAACACAAATCACTGCAAGCTACAATCACAATTAATTTGGTCTTTTTATACAAAGCTATTTTATTCTCTTCCTTATTGCATGGATTGAAATTTCAAATTCTCATCAGTGCTCCGTGCATTGCACTGGTCATTATTGCTGAAATAAAATCTTATCTAAGCTCAACAAAGTTGTACCATCGCACTTAATTACTCGCAGTCCTACATTAAATGCATGGATGTGTGCTGTCTTCTTCTTCTTCTTCTTCTTCTTCTTTCCTGCTCGTTTCTCCCGAGCCATAACAATTTCGCACCCTAGCATGAAAATAAAAATAAGAGGTGTGATAATACGCGGCTTAAATTGAAGCATCCTAACAAGTAGAGATTTAGAGCATTGATAGGACCTTCAAGCTACTTTAATACCCACACAAACACACGGTTAGGTTAAATTTTTAGGTCATTTTTCATATACCAAAACTAAACTATTTTCTCTGATACAGTTGAAGATAGGATATGCATACAATAGCTAAAATATTGATGGTAATTGCTGCTCTCCGATCTCTCTTTTGCATTAATGAAGAGGAATGTTCCCTACGTGGGCTGAACTTACCCATTTGCCTTTAGCCACAACTTCAACATAGATTCCATCGGACTCAAACCCGCCTGAAGCCTGATTCTGTAAGGTCACATACATTGATAGGAAAGCGTGTTTGTTTTGGTGTAAAGTTTTTTGAATTGTTATTCTATTTTTTTTAATTGTTTTGATATATTTATAGTAAAAATTATTATAATCACAAATGCTATCAATGATATCAAAATATAGGTTATTGCTTTGTTTTTATTTGTTTTTATGTTATAAAAGTATTTTTAAAAAATTATAATTTTTACTCTCTTTTTTTTACATCGAAGTAATTTATTTTCAAATTTTTAGATTATTTTAATGTATTAATATAAAAATAATTTTTTTAAAAATATATATTATTTTAATATATTTTTTAATTAAAAAACATTTTTAAAAACAAATTTAACTGCGATCTCGAGCAGCATGATCGCTACTACGCCCATATTCAGAACTGTACTGCAGGTTTCAGAATTTCCTAGAGAGAGAGAGAGAGGTTATAATTAATGGTTTGTGACTTCAAGGTCAACATTCAGTAGGGCTTAATTATTGGTCCCCGTCATTAAATAGATGTGGTGATTATTGTTGTTAAGAGGGCATGGGCGGCCTATCTTTCTTGGAAACATAGGAGTCACAACTGTCACTTTTTGAAAGGGATGGTTATTTTTTATTTGATTTTGTTTTTATAAAAAAATAATTAAATTAAAATTTAAAAAACAAATAAAACTAAATTGAAACAATCATACAGTTTTATTTGTTTTTTTGAATAAAAATTTATAAAAATTAATTTGATTTGATTTTTTAGTTTGACTCTATTTTAATTTAATTTTTTTATTTAATTCTTTTTTTTGTTTGGATTTTCAATTTAACTAGTTTTTTTGTATTTTGATATATTTCTTCTAGTTTTTTTTGTTCAGGTTTGTTTTAGTTATGTTTTTTTTATAGTTTAGTTTTTCAAAAAAATTAATTTTTTTATTTTAATCAGTTTTTTACTTTTTTTTACTCGCTACTTTTCTTTGTTTTATTTATAACCTGACAGCAATTAATGACCCTGACAAGGAGCGGCGCTACCCTCTGCTCGGGGCCTCACGGCACCCCCATGAGCTT